GTGCTGCGCTGATGTCCAAAGGACAACCCAAGCAGCTATGGTGCTGCGCTGATGTCCAAAGGACAACGCAGAGCAGCTATGCCGCTGCTGACTTGGTCCGCTATGCCTGACTCTGCCTCGAGCTTCCCTGGTGCCGCACTACCCCAACTGGGGCCTTCCAGATGCAGCGCCCAACAAGGTGATGAAGATGGTGTCTACCATAGCCAGGTAAGTGCCCCACTACTCTCCTACTATGCCCCCTTCTTCCGCCTCCTCAAGCTGGACTGCTCGCCATAGCCAGGCTGAGCTCCAGCGGCCCTTCACCTCCAAGCAGCGCTGCCTCAGTCCAGCGCTGCGCTCCAGCAGCATGTTGCCAATCCGTGCACACCGCAAATGAGGAAGAGCTCTTTGCTCTTCCTGGAGAGATAGCGGCCTACCGGCCTCCTGGGCGGTGACTTCCTAGGCTGAGCGGCCTCCCAGCAACCGGTACCTCCTTCCTTTCGGAGGGAAACATCATTGCAGGCTCTGCTATCCTCCGCACAGGCCCTAGACCCGGGCTACTTGGACTGGCACCGGCCTACCGCTATCCTACCGCTACTGGGCCTCTAAAAATGCCAACTTTTGTCTTCTTCTGCTCGGCCTCCAGTACCCGACACTTCTACCACTACTTCAGTGGTACCGGCCTACCTGCTACTTGAGTGTTTTTCCCCTCTGCTCTAAGTGCCGCGGGCCTATCCCCGCTACTCAAGTGTTTTCCCCCCTGCAACCCTTCACAGTCACGGCCACAGGTAAGTACCGGCCCTGCGGGGCCTTGCAACCAACAAGTACCCTTGCGGGTCACACACACACTCAACCGACAAGCACTTAGACAGGCATGCAACCCAGCAGGCACGCACACACACACAGACATGGAAATCACAGCAGAATGCGGGAATTTCAGCAAGGCATTCATTCCAGCGGCAAATCTCAGAAATCAGCAGTGTTCTCAGTCTGTGTTTTTGGCGGGTCATTACAGAAGAATAAATCCAGTCTCCGAGAATATGACCACCTCTATCGCTATCCTAATATACCTAGAAAACGAAATGTTACTATCAGAAATTTTCGGCGATGTATGCAAATATCAGAAATTTTCGGATGCTAATTTCAGAGACGCGAAATGCTACTATCAGAAATTGTCAGATATTTGTTGCGTGAAAACGAAATGCTAATATCAGAAATTTTCAGATATCATAAATTTTCAGATATCATAAATTTTCAGATAAAACGAAATGCTATTATCAGAAATTTTCAGATATTTGTTGCGAGAAAGAAAAAAAAAATTCAGAGATTGGACGAAGTCCTACTTGATTTACTAATAAACAATCAATCAATCAATCAATCAACCAATCAATCAATCAATCAATCAATCAGTCATTCAACAATCAATAGATCAAGCAAGCTGGCTACTTGATTGAGCGGGTCCTCTGATTGGGAGGTCCGCTCCGATACCAAAGTGTCGCATACCGTAACGGTGCAGACCAGAACCGACCTCTCTCACATAGTACAAGATAGCACAGCGGAAGGCTTAAATACCAATGATCCGAACAATCAATGTCGCAATGCAGCCCAAACATACACCATCATCATTCCATGGTGTGAAGGGGCCTGGCGCTCACACAGGAAGAATGCGCCAGTCCCCAACCATACACAAACGAAGAAGAGGGGAAGATGGGAATGCCGTCAACACCAAGTCTTTGGCACAGGTCCAAAATAATCCCTCGTCAAATGTCTGAATCCCAATGTCGAGTCTGGATCCAATGTCGTCAAGTCCCAAAGTCACCAATCTCTCTCTCTCTCGTACTCTGCCGGTACTGAGAAGTTAGGTAGCGAGAGGGTGAGGAGGAGATGGTGGACTTAGAAGAGGGAGAAGAAGAACTCTCTCTCTCTCTCTCTCTCTCTCTCTCTCTCTCTCTCTCTCT